GGAAGAAGTGACCTATTGCAGCAGTATATTATATAATGTGTAGTTTAATTATCAATGTGTATCTGATACAATGACACAAGTCTCTTCTGTTAAAATGAGGAGATTAAAGAAGCAGCTCCTACAGCCTGCAGAGCTTCAGCTGGTTAAACCATGTATGTGCATACCATGTAAGTAAGGCGGATGTGTGTGCGTGTGCGTGTGTGTGTTTCAATGTCTACAGAAGCCTTTTCATGACTTCAGCCTTAACTTTAGCTTTATAGTCCCAAAGGGGAAATTTGTCTTGCAGCCAAGTCAAACACAAAATGCCCACAGACTTTACCACTAAACACTTTCAAAATAATATCATAAAACATATAATAAAAATGTGTTAACATAGGCTAAGTCACCCACACACAAGCTCACATAATACAATGTCTATGCTATCAGTGTTAGCATCCACTCCATCTAATTTAGCAAGATGACATGAGAGACTGTTTACATTTTGTTAACACACCTGTTTAGCAAACTAACCACTCATATGTAAAATATTATAATAAATACCACATAGTCCCTTCTTGATACCGACAATGCCAAAACACTGATTGACCAATAACAGTTGATAGCAAATACATCAAGCCGATATTTGGGGAAATATTCGAGTGACATCCAGATTATTTTCATTTGATATAAGCGTCATATACTCTGGAAGCACTGAAGCAAGCACATACAAAATATGTGTTTTTAATTTCAAATAAACTGAGGGAGCTATTTAAAGGGAGCGTTTGGATTACATCGGAGGTGTGTTGTCATGTCACTCTGCATGTCAGTGTGAATATTGTGTGTGTGTGTGTGTGTGTGTGTGTATGTGTGCAGTGTTCAGGTGAGTGTACTAACGGTTTGTTTGCTTCACTCTGGTGGCTCTGGACTCCTGACTGTGTTGAGAATGTACAGACTCCGCCACAGTCGACTTCATGCTGAGAGCAACTGCATTCCTGACCTGCAGTTCAAAGAGCAAAGAACACACACATACACACAACACACACACTAACTGACAGATATATAAGGCACAATGCACAAGGGCACATGCACAATCTGCCTCAGACACACAAAACACACATTTTATTGCACAGTTATGTTGCTATGACTGCTACATGTGCACATGAGCACACTCACACATAAAAGCACTGCGTCTGTTGGCCCACAAACAAACACAGTATAGCTGCAAACATGGGCACTTTGGTTTTAACCGCCCGCTGCAGAAAATACAGAGATAAAAACATGTGTAGACAGACAGGTCAATGATCCAACATCCTTCATCCACACTGCACTTATCACTGTAGTCTGCTTCATTGTGACTTTTATTGTTACTGATAATAGTATTTTGAACTGTTTTATTGTACTTTTCTTTGACCCAAATCATCCTGTAAATGTTTCAGAAAGTCTTGTTTTCACTTTCACTTAGTTTTTGTTTCCAAGATTCAAAGACTAAATTAACTAAATGTACAACAAAACAGTTTCCACAAAAGACAACTTACGAACTGACTTGATATTTTTGTGAACACGTCTTGTTCAGTGCAGGTTACGTTTGTCTATGCTTCACTTTAACGTTTTACTTTTGTTTTAAAGAAAATCAATCAGTCAGTGTGCTTTTAACCCTAAAGGAGTTTCCTCTCTAACATTTAACTGATCCAGTCTTGTTTAGTTGGATTTGGTCACGTTTTCATTGGTCATATGAGATGAATGCACTTAGTTTGTCACACTTTGACATTAAAATGTCACCAAGTCAAATTTACATTTTATAAAAATACATTTCACAATAAAGGAGCAGCACACACACACACCATATAATTTGAGTCTGTAGCAATTCGCAGTAACATTGGCATCTAACTTGTATAGAGGATGTCTACAAAATGAATGCAATATGTTTCTTTTGGTGACTGGACGCTGGACAGTTAGACTTAACATATTTAAGTTGTACTCTTTAAAGATGTTCAACAACGAAATCTATACAAAATGATCCAACCTCTGCTAATACACATACACAGGGGCTTAAAAGAAAACAGTAATTCAACTTACAGCAGCTTAGCTTGACCTCTTAACCAAACAAAAGGCCTATCCATGCACAATGAGTCTCGCTGTGACGGATGTGGGTTAAAGTTACCTTATGCTCACATTGAAAAATTTTGAATTAAAGTCACAGACACAAAGTTGCGCAAGAGAAGTCCTTCCCCCTCCTGCCAGCCTTGTTATCAACTTTTACCTCTTTGCTCCTTTGACATTCATGCATCTTCTGAGAGACATAACATTCCATTAAAGGTCAAAATATTTTGTCATTCTGGGGAAATTCCTGTAAAACCATGCGATGAGCAAACACTTTTTGGTACATAGAGGTTCTTTTAACCAGGCATGCTTGGAAATAAATACCTCCTCTGTGGGTATTTTTTTTTCTCCTAAATTTAAAGGCTGTTATTGGAAACCTTGCAGGCCCTGATAGTTTATTCTGTCCTCCCCTCACATGACAACACTGTTTGTATGACAGACAAAGAAAGCAAGAAATTCCACAGGAGCACTGCAGACTGCCAAGACGACAGATGACCTACAAGATGAGTTGAAAACAGGAGGATTACTACGTACTGTCAACCTGTCTATTAAATGAAATACATCTATACAATGATAATCTGTAACAGCAAATAAGTTTTGAAGGAAATGTAGAGATGCCAGGGTACGCGTTATCAACATAATAACTGTTGATACTGAACACATAAGTAACATGTTCACTGACAATGTATTTCATTGGTTTTCCTATACAGTATCACCCATTGCGACTAAAGCATGATGAAACATGTTTGTGGTTGCAGGAACCAGGATGTGAACCCCAGTTACCACTGTCAAAGTCCAGCGCTTCGTATGCCCATCATCCACCAAGAACACCGTCCTACAACTTGCATGCCCTTTAGAAAGGTATAGCACCTCCTACACAGGAAAAAGGGTTTCCAGGAAACAACGACAGATTGAATCACCTTTGCTGGCTAAGCATGTGTGCACGTACAAGGAATTTGACCCTGGTTGACTGTTGCTGTGTTTTGCATATCTCTTTTTGCATTTAGAAATATAAATAACAGCTAGGAGGGTAAAGGGTAAAGAATAGAGAGGATGGACTAAATGTCAGAATATCTCCACTTTTCTTCTTTCATCTGTGTCGCTGCCAATAACTTCTGATCACGCCATTCAAATGTGCACACAAAAACTCAACCATAATCATCCAGGAGGCAGCAGTTAACCAGGATCTCCTTCCCAAGGACCAGTGAGTGTGTGCAGCAGGTGTGAAAAAGAGCCATATAACCTTTTGACAAGTTGCTCAACAACAACAGGCCCTCCCTGTTATTATTGGGTCAGCAAAGTTGGAGAAATTCTTTGGGATTAGAGTGAAGTGGAGAACATGAGTGTGAGTGCCATGCGCTCGCTGTGTGTCGACCTGAGGCCCCCCTCTTTGTCTTACGGCAGTGTTGGGGTTAACTCCCCCTTTGCTTCCAGGCTGGCCCAGGGTCAGGGGGGAAACAGGCAGCCAGTCAGGCAGCCAGGCATTCTTTCAATGTGTGTGTGTGTGTGTGTGGCTGCATCCCACTCTGTGCTCTTTGACTCCGCTGGCCTTATAAGGCATCCAGTGCCATGGCAACGGCAGGGCTTGAATAGCAGTGTCAAATCCCTCAGCACACAGACACACGCTCACTCTCCCTAAAGGAGGGAGCGAGGCAGAGACACAGAGAGGGGATTGAGAGGAGCAGGAGAGGAGGCTATCTCAGGGCTGCTCTCTACTGCAGCGTCTGGCTTTCACTAAAAAGGTCCATGACCGGGGTTTTCCTGCGCTTGTTTGCCTAATTTATTCCTGTCGGGGCCCGGCAGAAAGACGGGCGGAAAAGAAAAAAAGGACGGGTAGAATAGTAAATAGTGCAACAGTACACCCTGACTTGCTGACAGGGAATGTGGAGAGGTTCTGGCCTCCGGTTGTTACTGCTGGATGGACAAGCACCGACAAAACAGGAGACAACACTTTGTGGCGCTTTGATTGAGAGAGGAGGAGGTTTCTCAACTCTGCTTTTTGTTTTGGCTTGTTGTTGTTTGTTTTTTCTGTGACATTCGAGCCTCTGACACGACAGGCTCTGAAGAGCTGGGGGAGCCACAAGAAAACATCATTTCACCACAGACACAGAAGAGGAGGACATATTTGATGAACTTTGTAGCTGCAGAGACCACAAAGACATCATTCCACGAGTGAAAGGAGTGTATTGTCTTTCTCACCACTTCTTATTCGAATATCAAGTGTGGAATCAGTTTCAGCTGGATCTTTTTGGCTATTTATCGGCCAGAGAGGTGTTCCTGGCCAAAATACTTATATAAAAGCTGATGAGGCTTTGTGGTCGGGTCCTCTCTGAATGACAAAGAAGAAAAACAGAATCCAATTTCCAAAACTCCCCATAAGTCTTTTTTTTCCCTTTGGGACTTTGCATTTCCAGAGCAAAATATTATCTTATTTTTCCTCTTCATCACGATCACCTCTGCTTCTATAACAGCCCAGACAAGTCAAGAGTGCGTCTGGACTAGAACTGCCTCAGATCAGCAGATAACACCTCTGCACGGCAGGAACTGGTTGGACTAGTTGCTAAGTTTGAGGAGAGGGCAGGGCAGTTCAACCCTGCCTGAAGGAGAGCTGCGTTTTATTTTCCTCCCGCTTTCTTGTCCTTTTGGGAGAAAGTCGATCACTGAGAGAGGGGCAGAGCCGCTTTTTCATTTAGAGAGCGACTCTGTTTTGTTCCATATTACTATGCTTATGGATAGGTAAGGTGTTTTTTTTAACTTCTTCCGGGGGGGGGGGGGGGGGGGGGGGGGGGGGGGGGGGGGGGG